ATATGGAGGTTCAGTTTCACCTGATATATATTACTCTCTATGTATGTAAAAAATAATCTAATACATTTGTTTTCCTTTAGTAGGTTTTATTACCTGGTGGTACAAGTGACATATTATGCTGATAGATATAAATTCACTGTCAATATATGACTCGCAACTGGCCTGTATCTATTAAGTCAGATCACGGGTATCTTTCTCTTAAAGGTGGAACGAGATGGATGATGTAATCCCTAGCGGCTAATTAATAGGAGATTATCATTCAGATTGCTAACTGACGCTCGAGTGATGTCTTGACGTTGGATTGGACCCATGATGTCATGAATGGGTTAGGCACTTACCCGATTTAACTGATGGACTTGCAAGTGCTACTTTGGAGTCTCTTGAGAAAAACACAGCTTGCGCCAAAACGGTGGGTAGGCACTTTGGCTACCTTTTTACTTTAAGATAAAGGGCTTGTTAGCTATACTGGGGACTGCCTCGAAGCAGAAGGTGGTTATCATATTATTATTAGGAGTATAGTATCTACCTTTAGCATTTAGAGGCAGGTTATTCTCCATATTTATGTGAACTACACTTCAATGTTGCCTTTGTTCTAAACTCTAATCTTAACTCCTTTACCACTCCCTGTTTTATATTTAAATACCCGAGGGACTGCCTCAAAACAGTAGGGGGGTTGCATATTATTATTAGGGGTATAGAGTTTATCTTTAGAATATAGAGGCAGAGAATACTTCATACCTGTATTAACTACATTTTAATGTTGCCTTTTTTAAAACTTTAATTCTTACTCCTTATGATTTCCTGTTTGATATTCAAACATTGCTTTCATACCAAATGCTGCCTTCTAGTAATATGTATTATCAGTTAATGGTCCCTTCTTGCAATCTAATGTGAGTTCTAAGTGGTATTTTCTAATTTCACTGATTGAGCTTGGTTACATATCATATTTTTGTAACATCTAATAAATTATTGAAAAAGCTAAAGGGTATTCAGCGCTAAGCAATAACTGGAACAGTCCAAACGGCAGCTAAATCACTGACGCCGGGGTCTCTCGTCTTGTCCACAAACAGATTAAAGTACAAGGAGTGGTGCAGCGCCTAAAGTCTCCATTAAAAATATATATATATAAAAGCAGGGAGAGAAAGGAAAAAAAGGAAAATATATAGTGTAGCATGTCACTGTCCAAATAAATAGAATAAAACAAATTAAACACACTCACAATTTCCTGGAGCTAAAATTGTAGCTCCAACTTGAATGCCTGGGCAGAACATCCCTGCCTATGGATATAGTGTGGTTCTTGGTGGCTGCAGTCACTCAAATGGTGGAAACATAAGCAGCTCTGCGGATATGGGCTTAGGATATTATAGTGTAGTGCCCACTTGTAAGTACAGATGATGGTATTTTCCCTCCAACAATATAGGAGAAAAAAGAAAAACCTAAATAGTGTGTACCGTAAGGCACAGAATACAATTAAAGTGGTGAGAAATATACTCACATTTGATGAAGCAGATGTGGACTGCTCTATCCCTCAGGCTTGGGTGGTACAATCCCCACCATGGATATGTGTCAGGTTTAGGAAGGGGAGTTGCCCTGAGACAGCAATATCCCTTTAAAAGCAGGAACCCAATATGCAGAGAAAAATGACAAAAACAAGGAAAGAGAGTGCAAATAAGTATATATTATGAAACAAACAAAAAGACACAAGATAACAAAACAATTTACAGTAATACAATGCCAATACAAAATATACAATAGACCTAGGTCTAGCACGGGAGGTGCAGGCAGAGTATCAGGTACAGTCTTGTAGGTTAAATGGTGTACACTGGGCAGGACCGGGCAGGCACCATAAGAGACAGACAAGACTCAGGTCCAGAACTGCTGAATATGCATCTAGTGCCAAAAGGATGCAAGGCCAGAATCACAGGGTACCAGACCACAGGATGCAAGGATACAGGACCAAAGTCACAGGATACAAGACCAGAGGATGCAGGGTCAGAGTCACAGGAAACAAGGCCACAGGACACGGGAACACAAGACAAGAGGACACAAGAACACAAGACCAAGGGATGCAGTGTCAGAGACCAGAGGACACAGGAACAAGGATACAAGACCAGAGGACACAGGAACAAGGACACAATGATCTGACCCTGGGGGAATGGTGAGGCCAGATTATAAAGGTATCTAACAAGGGCCAGCTAAAGTGCTTAAATGTCCAAGAAGTAAGGAATAGCACCAAACAGGGAGAGTGGTGATCCATGGTACTGCACAAAGGAATATCACCTAAGGAGTGAACCAGGAACCGTGACAATACAATAGTTCAAGCAGAATAGCAGCAAAAGATTGGTCCAATAAAAAAGTACTTTTATTTAAAAGTAATCAATAGAAAAATATATAGAACAAGAAAAAATACACTCAAAGTGAGGTAGATAATAATAATAATAATAAATACACTTTTAACGCGTTTCACCTGGCAAGAGGCTTTCTCAAAAGTGTTTTACAGACATGGGGAACCTAAGCTGCTTAAATGGGGGGGGGCGGGGGGGGATGTAAAAATACTGGTTCCGTGACATCACAGGTCACATGACCAAAAATTTATTAACATAATCAATCGTACACTAATATTAAAAATCTTAGTAAAGTAAAAGAGAAGGGTAGTGGGGAGTGGGTGGAATTTGAATAAGCAATGCTAAAAATAACTTTATACAAATAAATTACTGATATAAAGTAGGAGAACTGTACCATATTATATATAATATATCAAACGTGTTTTGCAGTTAGGTGAATTCTATGATATCATGACCTTTGAGCAACTGATATAAGTTTGTGATGCCATATCAATGCCAAATATTGCAGTTGAAATAGGGAATGAATAAAGGTAGAGCTATTATTGGGAGAGTGGTTGAAATCTTTCCCCGCACACACTATTTGTTACAAAAACTGGGTAACTTTGAGATTGTACAATGTGTGATAGTATGATGCAATTTCATCATTAATGTCTTGAGGGTTATGTATTTTTAGTACCCTTGTTCGTGAATAGGTATGGTAGTTTTGATTTGGCTTGTTTTTGGCGCAACAGTGCTGTTAAGCTTTTGCCTACCTTGTTTCTTTGTGAATGTCTTTTGTTTTAGGTTTTGTAGCATGACTGTGGTTTTTTTCCAGGGTTAAGTTGTTGATGTGCGCTCTGGTGTCTTTTATAATCTGAGCTTGTTAAGCCATGGGATGTATAAAATGGGCATTAGTTGTGTAGATATTCTATTTGTGCTTTCTTTTTAGGAAAGAAGCATGAGTAATTACTAGGCCACAAATAACTGGTTTATGAGCTTGCCATAGGGTGAAAAACGTGGTGTCAGGCATATTGTTGAATGTAAAATATGTTTGAATGTATTTAGAGAGTCGTTGTGTGAATTCCTAATCATGTAAAAGTACGTTGATAATTATCTTTATTTTTTAGGGTGATTTGTGTATGGTCGGACCATACTGCGTCCCCTATGCCGCATTCTGTAATGTTTTAGTAGTAGGGGCCCAGACACTAAAATGAAATCTATTGTAGGGTACATTTTGTGTACCATGGAGTGGTAGGAGAAGTCTCGGGTAGTTGGATGGCATGTCCGCCATGTGCAGGGGAGGGCTGGAAGCCTAAGGCCTGGGGGGTAACTCCAGTCAAGTGGCTCACTGTACCAAGAGGAGAATAAAAACACCTTTCCCATGTGAAAGAGGGGGCAGTCACCTAAACAGACACACTCACTGACAGGCGCACACACTTGGTGATTTGACACACACTAACAAACACTTACTGACAGGCACACGCACACGCACACAGACACTCACACACACACACACACACACACTGTGTTACAGGCAGACTGACTCACACACACAGACATACATACTGAGACACACAGACATACTGGTTGACACACACAGACATATTTGCACACAGATAGACATACTGACACACACACAGACAGATATACTGGCACACACACAGACATACTGGCACACACACACACACACACACACACACACACACACACAGACTTACTGACACACAAACACTACACTTTTAAAGCCAATAGACAGGGGCTGAGTAAGGGGACAGGGCTGTAGTGGGGGTATGAGCTGTAATTGGGGGGGTTAGGAAATGTAGTGGGGGGATAGGGGCTGAAGTATGGTTGATTGGCTACAATTTGGGAAAGGGGCTGTGGTGTGGGTGATATGGGTTACAATTGGGTTAGAGCTGCTGTAGTGGGGATGTTATGGGGGCTGTGCTTGGGGGATATGGGGCTGAGGAAGGGGGACAGGAGCTGAGAGGGGGGATAGGAGCCGAGGGGGGAAAGGGGCTGAGGAAGGGGAACAGGGGATGAGGAAGGGGGACAGGGGCATAAAAGGGGATAAGGGATAAAAAAAAAAACTAAAAAACTAAAGTGTAGTTCCCCCTTCCTGAGTCTTACCTTAGGCCAAGGAGCAGTGGGCAGGAGCCAGCAGCCAGCAGCAGTCAGTGGAGTCGGCCGGCTTCTATTGATAATGTCAGGGGGGGGTGACTTGCTTTGCTCTTCTCCCACACTTCCCAGTGGTCCTGGGAGAAGAGCAGTGAAAGTCACGCCCCTTCCTCCTGACATAATCAGGAGAGGCCAGCCAACTCCACTGGCTTCAGGCTGCAGGGATACAAGTAAGTTGAAATATTTGAGTCCCCAGCCAGAGGCATGGATGTGGACAGCCCTGGATTTAGGGCAGCCTAGGGGACAGGGTGGACTATGGGTTCCAATGTGGCTTATGAGATGAGACTCAGAACAGCGTTCATTTTATGTGACAAAATATAGCCAAGTTTGCAGTTGTTGTTGTTTGTTTGTTTCAGGCATTTTTGCCACTGGCAGTATTAGGGAGGAATATTCTCAGTCTTCCTGATAAAGGTAGCTTTGGTACCATTATTGTATAGCACTAGTGATGTCCTGAATTGTTCGCCGAACGGTTCGCCGTGGTTCGCCACGGACTCCAGTCAGCAGACACATTCCAGCCAATCAGCAGCAGACCCTCCCTCCCAGACCCTCCCACTTCCTGGACAGCTCACTAAGAATGCAGCTTCAAAATGGATGCTGTCCAGGAGGTGGGAGGGTTTGGGAGGGAGGGTCTGCTGCTGATTGGCTGGAATGTGTCTGCTGACTGGAGTTCGCGGAGAACCGTTCGCAAACCATTCGGAGAACAGTTCGGGACATCACTATATAGCACTTGATTTATTTGGACAACAAAATAGAAATATAATTTGAAAATTGATAATATTGCCAGTGGAGACATCCCTACCACCACCCAGCCACCCACTTGGGCCTAATTGCCTGGGAGTAAATGGTTAATTGTGTGTCATATTGTGATACCATATGTTGCTGCTGGTTTGCTATTGTGGACATATCAATTATACTTAGTTTATCGGTTACAATGGTAGTGGTAAGCAGCCTGGTAGTTAAGTGAGTCTAGTGTGGTAACTTTGAGGTCAGTATAAGTAACAATCGAGGTAACATCTGGTATGTCAATGTATGATAAGGTTACTCTGTGTTTACATCTGCTGACCATTACATATTTTGATCAATTTTATGTAAATTCATACGAACTAATTAATAGATCAGTGCAAAAGTTTAGTTTGGATGGTTTGACCGAAATCAAATACATTTTTATCCACACCTGGACAAATCAGTCGTCCATAATGTACCTGTCTTATTGAAAGAATATAACTACACATTATTAAGTCATGTATCAAACTGCCACTACTCCTGGGTGGCAGCAATGCCTATGGTACACATCAGCCCCAATACAAATTGTGCTGATGTGTACTGCAGTCATTGCTGCCACCCAGGAGTAGTGGGAGTTTGAGTGCATGACTTAATTTTGAATATTTGCATTTGGTTTTAGATTACACAGCCATGTTACAGTGCTGCCGCCCACCCCATTGTTCGCTAGTAAAGGTTAATATGTGTGTAGGGGTTTAGAAAAGTACCCCTCTCTGTCTCATTAACGATTTTACATTTTAGCTAAAAGAAGCAAGGTGAATTATTAATGTAGGACTCACCTATGAAGTTTGCCTTGACATGGTAGGTGAGCTTGCCCATTAATGGCCACTGGAGTGAAACTAAAAACCTTGAGTTGCTTAAATGTGAGTAGGGGTGGTGTGCAAATAACTTTTTCTTTGTTTTTTATTGTATGTATTGGGGCTGATGTATACTATAAACAATCTAATAACAAGTGAGCGCTAAGAAAATATGTACTACAACAGTATAGCAGCACTATACCCAAGTGACACAGAATAGTATACACAGAAAATGAATAATATTACCAAATAAGTGCGCCAATACTGGAGATGGTAGATCTGAAAATAAACAAGAAATATAGTGGAGAGGGTATGTATAAAAGCATATATAGGTAGGAGTGAGGGGAAAGAACATGGACCAGAGCCTTATCACCCCTGGCTCTGGGTTTTCACAGCTCTATTGGAGAGGGAAAATCCCACAATCTGTAGATGAAGGCTGTATGATGGATCCAATCAAGCCAAAGAACGATTCTGTGTGGTATAGAAAGGCAAAAGACCCACAATTGAATAGTATCTTCTAAGTTTAATAATAAAAAATGGATAAAAATTCTTACTTCAGAAGTGGTGGGTATCGGCTGTGTGAACTACCACATAAAAGCATGTATACAAAAAGTAGCATGCCACCATCACGAACAACGCTGGGTTTTAAAAGTCCCGCTCACGTGACCACTTCTGGGTCCGCCTTCAGATGATGTCTCCGTGACGTGTTTCGCCCGTCTGTCTGGGCTTCCTCCAACGATGTCAGTATTCACTAGCTCCTCCTCTTATACACCTCGATCCTCCCCCATACTGTCGTCACCAATCTGGGGGAGGGATGCAATCTGTATTCTAGCTGAACCTGTGATTACATTAGTCCTCTTTGCTGAGAGCATATGACCGGAGCTGAAGTTCATTCCACACATATGTTGCTTAGCCATAACGGCTAAAAACATAGATATATGTATCTCAAACAATATAACACAGTCAATCAATAATCCTACTCAGGACAACTTGTCTCCTACTTTATATATTCATTAAGAGTTATCTAAAAGATGTAAAGGAGACAAATACAAAGGAGACAAATATAAAAAAGACAAATGCAACATATTACAGCCATAAGATAAAGTATCTCCAAATACATGCATTCTCATCAATATATTGATTTAATCAAATCACTATAGAGAATTAAAAATATTCTTGATATTGATGGTATTAAGTAAAAAATATAAACAATCAGGGGAAGGATGTATCTATATACCTCAGTCTTCCAAGAAGTACTCTTGGTGTTCTATTACTAACTTAGAGTTAATTGTGAACAGCATATATTTAAAGATACATCCATCTTTCAAACATATCCAATATCAGGTTCCTTCTAGCCAACATTTGTTTAGGGAAACAGTCAAATTTGTTTGTTATATCAATTATTATAAAGAATAGCCGTACCAAAACATAAAATATAAACCGAAAATCTTAAAAATTTACACATCATCCTCCAAAATTGCAGGATAGTGTTCATTTATTTATGTAGGATCTTCCTATTACATAGAAGAGAAGAATCACAGGATTAAAAACATCATACAGATTCAAAATACCTCAAAGTTGGTGAATCTACATACAGTACACATAATATTAATAAATCAAAGAAAGTGACAGATCTCAAAATCCCCGTTTAAACCTCTAGGGAATAATGATTTAAGTTTAAACAACCATCACATTTCTTAGTGGGAAAATTTTTTGCTTATTTTCAGATCTACCATCTCCAGTATTAGCGCACTTATTTGGTAACATTATTAATTTTCTAATGTGTACTATAGTCATTGAGTAGTTGGAGCTTGGGAAAAAGATTTAAAGGAACACTATAGGGTCAGGAACACAAACATGTATTCCTGACCCTATAGTGTTAACACCACCATCTAGCCCCCCTGAGTCCCTCGTGCCTCCATAAATATAGTAAAAAACTTACTGTATTCAAGCCAGAAGCTGTAACTATACATGCTGTTTGCCTAAAAAAAAAAGTCTGCTGACATCATCAGAAGTGGTAGCTTGATCCAATCACAATGCTTCCCCATAGGATTGGCTGAGACTAACTGACAAAGAGGCAGATCAGGGGCAGAGCCAGCATGATTCAAACACAGCCCTGGCCAATCAGCATTTCCTCATAGAGATGAATTGAATTAATGAATCTCTGAGGAAAGTTCAGTGTCTGCATGTAGAGGGAGGAGACACAGTGCTGCCCTGTGCTCTGCTGACAGCAGATCTGAGTGGATTGAGGAGTTTTATGCCTCAATCAACTCGGAAGTCCCTCTGGTGGCATTCTGAGTGACTGCAACTGGAGGTGTTCCTAGCTTTCAATGTAAAAGGAAAAAATAAAGGTAGTATACCCGTATTGGGGTGCTAGAAACACATAAGAAGTGCTATCAGTAATAATACCAATGGGAGGCTGAACATACAAATCAAAAACAAAAAAAGAATTTATTGAGAAAGATTTATTAAAAATTGCCAGAAAAATGGCAATCACCCAAAGTGTAACACACAAACTAAATAAGGTGTAAAAACCTGAAAAAAATAATAATTAACATGAAAAAAATTAACTTAATAACTAAAAATTAAGAAGTTCTAAAGTTGCACTCTATTTGTTCTCTGTTAAAGCACACGTCTGTGCTTCACAAGAGTTATGATAAACGTAGAATATTGAGGGGGGAAGGATAGGGTACCCTGGGGTATGGAGGATATGGATCCTGTATGAGTATAACAAGGGAACTACCTCAATAGGAGGAGCCTTAATACGAGGTGTAAGAGCAACAAGCTCAATGAATGGGCATAGATGGTAACGTAACAATTCGTCAGTAATTGTTACCAATTAAGTTACACTGTCAGTTTATTGTATATTAAACTGCCAGTGAGCCTCTGTGTAACACAGAGAAATTAAGAACTGAGTGGAAATAGAAATGCTGAATAGTACACCTAAATATTATGATCTCTTGTGAAAAAAACTAAAAATTCAAATAAATAGCCAGAGTACTAGATATAGGTTTACAGGACACAAGGATAGCAAGGGGAGAAAAAAAGAGACTGATGGCAATCCGTGAAGGGAACAATATCACTAGATAAACTGACCATAGATAACCTCCCCATGCCTTCAAGGGCACCTAAATCCAACCCCCCTAATAGAATGTATAGGAGGATATATAAGGGAATTATCATGCAGCTTATGATATTAAGTTGATATTTATCTTCTATGGCTGCACTCTACTCCTTCGATATACTTTACTAGGGGGGCTGGATTTAGGTGCCATTGAAGGCACGGGGAGGCTGTCTACAGTTAGTTTATCAATGATATTGTTCTCCTCATGGATTGCTTTCCTCCTCCTATACATTCTATTAGGGGGGTTGGATTTAGGTGCCCTTGAAGGCACGGGGAGGTTATCTATGGTATTACGCCTCAAGGTAATGATTGCAGTTTCTGAGAAACCGCAATAATTACACTTGCAGGTTTAAGGGGACTGGGACACTGCACCCAGACCACTTCAATGAGCTGACGTTGTCTAGGTGCCTGTAGTGTACCTTTAAGCACACTCTCTGACAGACACACACGCATTCACTGACACACACTGGCAGATACACACTGACAGTAACACACACTCACTGACAAACACACAGACATCACTGATATGACACACACACATTCACTGAAACACACTCATTCATTGACAGAGAGACACACACAAACACACTGATAGACACACATAATAATCACTCACACACTAAATGACAGACTCTCACTGATTTGACAGACACTCATAAACCTACACATGCATACACTAACAGAAGCACATACACACAAACATACACATGCATACACTAACAGAAGCACATACACTCATACACACACATGTACATATGCTAACAGACGTAAATACACTCATACACACATACACTAACAGACATACATACGCTCATACATTAACAGACATACCTACACTCATACACACACACACACCGACACAAGCACACACATACACTAACAGACACACATACACTAACAGACATACACACACACACTAACAGACATACATACACACACACATACACAAATAGACAT